TAAGTCTTGGCTCGGGAAGTGCTTCGCTATGAAGGACCTCGGAGAGGCTTCCTATATTTTGGGAATAAGGATAGTAAGAGAAAGAAGTAAGAGACTAATAGGACTAAGTCAGAACACTTACTTAGAGAAGGTACTAAAACGTTTTAGTATGGAAAACTTGAAGAAGGGAGAATTACCGATACAAAGTAATGCCAAGTTCAGTAAGACTCAAAGTCCGAGTACCGAAGCAGAGATAGCTAAAATGAGCCGAGTTCCATACGCTTCTGCAGTTGGCTCAATCATGTACGATATGACTTGTACTCGCCCTGATGTAGCCTTTGCTTTGAGCATGGTTAGTAGATATCAAGGGAACCCTGGCAGAGCCCATTGGATTGCGGTGAAGGATATCCTTAAGTACCTTCGTAGGACGAAGGAATGGTTCTTAGTCCTCGGAGGGAGTGATGACTTGAAAGTGCGAGGGTATAGTAACACCAGCTTTCAGACCGACAGGGACACTACTGTTCGTAGTTGGGCTGGGTCTTTACCCTGAATGGGGGAGCAGTGACTTGGAAAAGTTCCAAGCAGGAACCGTAGCTGATTCAACGTGCGAATCAGAGTACATTGCAGCGAGCGAAGCGTCGAAAGAGGCAATATGGCTGAAGAACTTCATTAGTGATCTTGGAGTTGTACTTGCCATAAAGGAGCCCATGGATGTTTTCTATGATAATGAAGGAGCGGTTGCCTTGACCAAGGAACCAAGAGATCATGGTAGATCACGACATATCGACAGAAGATATCACTTTATTAGACATCGTGCAGAAGAAGGACAACTCGTAGTGAAGAGGATATCATCAGAAGATAACCCAATAGATCCGCTTACAAAGGGACTGAGTAGGGTTAAGCACTTGCATCATGCTAGGAGTATTGGGCTGAAGGATGATATTAGCATAGATTAGATAGTATTAGAAATGTGTAATAGATAAATGTAATTAACATTTGATAATTAAATAAAGGAGTTTTATTTATAAGTAATCTTACTGTCTTATGTTAATTGTTTAACTATTGTTTCACTTTGCATGTTTTGACTTCCAGAATAATTGAGTTTATTAAGAATAATCGAATTATTAAAATTGTCCACAATCGTTCATACGTCGGAAGTAGATATGAATGAATATTGTCATGAATAGGTGTGTAGATTGTCTAAATGGTATTGGACATAGCAAAATATTGTTGCAATGTTCATGAGTGCTTATGAACCTGTTTTGAGCATTGGAACAAACCCGCGTTTGCTGGAATCACCTTATGGAAAGTGATAAAAAGGGTGATCACCAGACGATAATATCATATAGTCTTAAAACCTAGATATATGGTTTGTTATTTGTTAATTGATTGTACATTGATAATGCGAAAATGCATTGGTAACTCGATGTTATAAAACGCATTGTTGTGTATAATTGATTAATGAATAAGTAAATGCATATAAGTCGAAGTTTATCTATAACTTTTATCCTAAGAAGGAAAAAGCGATATCTCGGCCTCTCGATGATTTGATTTGACTTATGTTCCAGGCCCGGTCAGAATTGAATTGATGTGTTCGATTAAGTTCTATGTCAAATAAATCAGAGATCGAGAAACCAAATGCTAGACTAATCATTCCATAGAATTGTCAGCATGATATCTAACAGAGGACTGTACGATCCCTTATCTAAAGGACAAGATTGATTAGATCAGAGTTTGACAGCGTCTTTGAGAGCTACGATTGCAAATCGGATTGTACTTGTGCATATAGTTACTAGACTTATCCAAGTGGGAGACTGTTGGAATAGTATTTAAGGCTGCAACTATATTAGGCAAGTATTTGACCCGATTGTGCATGGTCCTTTTCGGTTGCCTTCACCATAGCAACTTGGTAGGATGATTTATTATGATAGAGTAGATATTATTAATATATTATGGGAATAATATAATGAATAATAATATTGTTATTTGATTAATATAAGTCATAGATTAATTAGTATTAATTTGGTGACTTAAAGAGATTAATTAAATAAGAGGGTATAAATTATCAATTGTTTGATAGTTACACTTTGGGCAATGAATCCTTATGGGATAGGGTTTGGATGATTTCTAGGACTAGGATAAGCCTCAAATCGTCCAAGGCATATCTAAGGAAAGGATTAGGATTTCTTAGAGTCTAAGTTATCCAATTAGGGTTTAAGGGTGAAACCCTAGGAACCTTACAAGTATAAATAGACCCCTTGGGATAGGGAAATCAGTACCTCTTCTACAGCAAGGAAACCCTAGCCGATTTCCTCCTCTCTCCTCTCTCTCAAATCATTCTCTTTGCTAGTTGGTGTTTGTAAGCCATTAGAGGAGTTACAATTGTGACTCTAAAGCTCCAAGAACAAGAAGATCAAACAAGTGTTTCAAGGTAAGCTTCTAACTCTGGTTTTGTATTGTTCTTATACCTAATTAGCCATTAGAAGTCTTGGATTCGATGCATGTTTAATTCGAGAAACCTAGATCCAAGCATTAGGGTTTGTATGTGCACATAGGAATGTTCATATGACCAAAACCCATCATGCTATGCTTGATATGGACCGGAAGGCATTATGATATGGGCCGGAAGGCATTATGATGTAGACCGGAAGGTCAGGGAGTTATGGACCGGAAGGTCGACACGGGTAGGACCGGAAGGTTTACCGGGTTGGGACGGAAGTCCCCTGAGACACATGGACCGGAAGGTCATGGCCTGGAAGGGCGTATGTGTGTAAGTGGTATATTGGGGAACTCACTAAGAATTTATGCTTATAGTTGTTGTCTTATGTGTTTCAGGTACTAGCAAGGACTGTGGGAAGGTGCCGGCATGACTCGTACACACACCCACAGGCGGATTTGGATATAGTTGATCTTGGGATTTGACATGTTTTGTATTATAACTATGTTACATTGGATTTTATGGGTTGTCTTGAATGAAATTATGTTTTAAAGAAATGAAAATTTGTTTTGAAAATTTACGTTGTTACAAGTAATCTATCTCAGCTATATAAATTTCCATACCCCTTACAAATTCAACACTCCTTCCCTTAAGAAAGATCTGGCCTAAATTCCCCTCCTCTCTCTATAGTCCTTAGTTGCTAGTCTTGGTTGTGAACCATCAGAGGCACGATGCTTGTGGTGCTAACTGCCAAAAGATTTGAAGAAGGATTCAAGGTTGTTTCCAATAACAATAGTAAGCTTCTTGTTCTTATGAATTCTATTTTCTTAGGAAAGTTTAATAGGATGATAGTTCATAGTATGTTGTCTATATGTGAAAGACATAGATCATCAATAGTTTACATGTGCCCTAATCATTTAATTGTTAAATGTTTTCCACTTAGTGCATAGATTTTTGGAACCTACATTCTCCATCACATATCACGTCAGGGAAAAAAGTATGAACAAAGTAGACCCAATTTCTAAACCTTGAGAGTTTATGGATCCTAATTCTGACTCCTGATGATTTTTCTAGAATGCTTCTAAACCAGGGACATAGTCGTCATTCTAGTAATTTTCTTATTTTGTCTTTCAAATACATAAATATATGGTATGTGACATTACCACCATTATATTATTTCAAGGATCATATCTTATATGATTATATATATATATATATATATATATATATATATATATATATATATATATATGGGAAAAGTGAATATGTGGTTGGTGGGTAACTAAGGTTGGGCGTAGAACCCTTTGAAACGCCGATGTTTTATAGAAAATCAATTAATACGATCCTTTCTTTTGGTTACTGAAAATATTGCATAATGTTTCCATGATCACGGTTGTTATTGATAAGATTCCTTTTTTCTATCGATTTGTTCTTTCCATCTAACTCGAATCAATCGCTATGATTATCATCAGCGTATTGTTCTAATTGAAAGAAAAAAATTGCCAGTTTCCTCAACCTTATTTGTTGGAGCTCGTGTTCACCATTTGCGACCTTGTCATAGGTATTTTTTTATCCCCTTAATTGCAACTCATATCACTCTAGTTTGGTATACACATTAATTGGCTTTTATAATCTCACATGATTCTCTTTTCAATCACAAACTTTTTACATTTAATTTGTATTATATTGAATTTTGATTTGCTATTTTTATATGCTAGTTTTGTATTCGTATTTTCTCACATGATTCACTTTTCAATCACATACTTCTTACATCCAATTATTGTTGTAATCAATTTTGATTTGATGTTTTTTTGCTATAGTTTTTAGGTGTGTATCACAATCAGCTCCTCCCGTATTTTGATTTGTTGTTGCAATTGCCAAGAAACAGGTTCAATTCAGTGCATTATTCCAGATGAGGGCACAGGTAATATAATATCAAGACCATTTTATGCTACATGTTCAATATACATATTTAGTCTATAACACCTTCAATTTAGTGCTATGTTCCTATTCCTGATCGGGTCTGGTCGGGTTATTTTAAACTCTCACGTCTTTTTTGTGCTTTTTTTTTCTGTTGATAATTTTGTGTCTGGTGTCTTTTGCTTCCCCTCTATCCCCTTAGTAGAGGGTTTTTATATTATATAATATTGCTGATAAAAAAAGAATTTGTTTGTTTCTTGATGCAGGACATACAAACCATTATTAATTTACAAAACCAAGTAAATGATCATCCGTTTGAAACTGAAACACATACAGCTGAATATATTGACATACATGGTTATTTGGTATCTGAAACTGAGAAAATAACTGATGTGGATGCAAGTCTTATATGTGATGATGATGAAAGTAATGATACAATTATCATGGGAAAGGTATTCAATACACCGCATGATGCATACACATTTTATAACCGTTATGCCTTTTTACATGGATTTGGAATTCGTATTCATTGGGCTTATAAAAACAAGTCAACAAAGGAGGTTTATCGTAAGATGTATGTGTGCAACAAACAAGGTTTTAAATGTTTGAAGTGTGGCAGTTCAGGTGTGAATGCAAAAAAGCGCCGAAGAGAGTGAAGGCTGGCATGACAACAAGCGGACGAAGCAAGAGCATTCATTCCTTCTTTGATGAATTTGTTAATTCTAAGACTATGTTGAATGAATTTGTAGCTCAATATGATAAAGCACTTAAGTCTCGAAGAGCCGTTGAAGAAGATGAATACTTCAAAACTATAAACTCGAAGGCAGTTCTTTCATCGGTTCATCCAATAGAAGTGAGAGCCGGAGAATGTTATACTAGAAAGATTTTTGAGATTTTTCAAAAAGAATGGATAGAAGCTAATAACAACCTAACTCATGAGACAGTAAGCAAATGTACAGAAGAAATTAAATACCTGGTTGGGTAAATGAATGTTGATAAATCGCGTTGGAGACTTGTACGCTTTCATCTCAAAGATCAAGTGAATGTCACTTGTTCATGGCATATTATGCAAGCATTGCCTATATGTGATCAAGAAGAGACATGTTCAAACCCTTCCTGACCACTATATTTTACCTAGGTGGACACTTGATGCTAGGTTCCAAGTTGGTACTAGTAGTATTGGATTAGATGAAATGAATAATGAAAAGGAAGTTAGTGCGTTAACCCTATGGTATGTTCGTGCAAACAGTACTAAAGCAATCGAACTAGCAAAAAATTCCCCTTCAAAGATAAGAAGACTCAATAATTTATTAGTAAAGTTTCTAGAAGATGAAGTGATTCACAATAAGCTAAATGCACTTGAAAATCCATCTCAATATTTTTGTACAGGAATTTCTCAAGTAGACATTATGCCTCAGTTGTCTATTCGGGATCCTCTTGTGCTGACCAATACGAAAGGACGTCCCAAAAATGCAAGCAGAATTAAGTCTTCTTTAGAGATGGCGAAGAAAAAAAGAACTTGTTCTCACTGTAAAGGATTTGGTCATTAGGTCACTGGGTGTCCAATGAAAAAGGTGCTTTCTAATATATATATATATATATATATATATATATATATATATATATATATATATATATATATATATATATATATATATATATAAATTTTCGATTAGCTTGATCTAGTGCTTACAGTTTTTTGTTTTAGGCGGAGGAGGCTTTACAGGATAATTAGTGATTGTACTCTTGAATGGTTTTAACAAACCCACTTGGCAAAGAAGGTTGAAGAATTATTGCTAATTAGTTTTAGCTAGAAAACTTTTAATTTTGATAACTTGAATTATGTCAAAGACCATTCTTGAAATCTCGACCGTCAGATTTAAGCGATATATAACCCCTAAAATCTTTACTCTTTTCTTATTAATGCATTATACCTTTCGAATTTTTCCATATTGTAGCATCCTATTTTCAATGTATTTCTATTGTACTTCCAATTTAATTTCTTATTAATGTTGTAGTGGAAATATGGAATGACTCCTTGCTCAATGTTTTAGCAGTCTGATACATTTACCCTAACTACAATGCTATTTAAACAAATTATTGTTTTTACTATCATGCTTGATACAATTATGGCAAACCTAACTAATCATTAAACCGCTAAATACCAACAGTTTATTATTTACTCGGTTATGATTTGGACGACTTTACCCCTGTATATAATTGTTTGTCTTATTTTTTCTGTTTCGAACGATTTTGCCCCTTGATAGATTTGGTAATTGTTAAATGGATTTTTACTGAACAAAGGTACTTTTATAATTCATGCCAAAAAGTGCAATGCTATTATTGCTGTGTCATTGATTGCTCTTGGTTTGGCTAGTTCTGGACAAAATTGGTTTTAGTTTAGAAAATTGGGGTTTCCCTCAATGAATTAATCATGCATACAAATCTATTTTATGTACATTACTTTTAACTTTTACACAATATATCCGACTTAAAGATTTTAAATCCCAAATCTACTGTGGTGATACCATGTGCGTATGTTGTCCCATAGTGGGCAAGTTTTTGGTGGTTGAGAAGGATTCAAAACTTAATAAACAAGTCTATAATCAGATGATGTGATAACAAAAAAAAAATCCTTAAGCACAATTCATTAATAAAAAAGCAAATATTCAAGGGCATAAATTTGAATAATGCATGTTCACTTCCTAAGGTTGGGTTGTCTGATACATATCAGATAGTAACAACCACATAAACACACAAATATGAAATTATGGTCTTCTTTGTGCACCAAATTCCATCATAACAATTGTAGGAGTTCTTGAAAAAGATCCACCCATCGATCTCTCAATGATATAATTGACCTTCAAAGCATAATAGATCAAAACAACACGCCACTTGTCGAAATGCAATGCAAACTTCTCTTTTAATTTGAATATAATTTAGAGTAACCAACATATACTACCCTCTTATTCCCATAACGGTTATGAACTTATTCTCCTTAACGAATATACATAACTCAAATCTGAAATCATGAAATTGCAAGTAACCATATCTTTATGTGGCATTTCATCGAACACCTTGTTGGCATATCTCAAATCTTTACTCATTTTCATACGACTAGGGATAACCATCCCATTCCTTGGATAGAAAAATCTCTCTGGTTATTCTCCTTCTATATATAAGCGAGGCGGAGGAGAACAATAACGAAGCGGAGGAGAACAGCAGCAAGCAGAAGTGGGAACAATCTTAGGAATAGTGTTAGACAAACATTTTGGATGAGAACCACATCGATTTAAGTGTGGAATTGAGCAAACGGTTATGGAGGCAAGGAGAAAAGTAGCCACAAACAATGAAATAGAATCAATATAGATAAATTTGTTTGTGGGGACGGAGAATAGAAAAATGACGATCACCGAGGATGACCCCCAAAAATTTGGGAAGGCTATTTGATGGACTTTTCCAATTGTGTCGTAGTTTTGAAAGTTCTGGCATTAAAATCTTTGAGGTGGATGTCGACCAGATGGAGAGGAACATCACGACAACTACACAGAAGAGCGAAATCGAATTTGATAAAGGAATGTAATTATGGGTTTGGCGGTGGTCTATTTTAGCCAAAACGACAACGTTTTTGAGGTTCTATACATATCTTTAAATACCTAACAGCCTTATATTCCCTAACCCATATATATATATATATATATATATATATATATATATATATATATATATATATATAAAAGTTATAAACATTATAACTTGGAATTTATACATGTATTTCTGTTTACTAATATATGAGATTTACCATTTATTTAAGTGAGTATCATATACCTTTACACATACTTATCAAACATACTTGAATTTTATAAACTCTATTCATTGTAAAACATTTCGTCTGGTGACTTATCCTTGTATAAGTTAGAGATTTTCACTCTTCATCCTTACCCCATCCCCCCCCCCCCCCCCCCCAGTGTTTATGCACCTACAAAATAAGTCGTGTTATTCATATACATTAGTTAAGGGCTTTATAGTCAGGCGCTCTTCATTACCTAAGATTAAAAACTTAGGATACCCACACTACTATAACCATTAATCCTCGGAGCAGGATATTTATATATAGATTTATACCGAGTTGACATCCCCACCTGCGGTTGTTAGCTACAACCTCGACCGATCAATCGAAGCAGGTGATATATATATATATATATATATATATATATATATATATATATATATATATATATATATATATATATATATATAGTCATTACTACATCATCTAATGAAGTGTTGTAAGTGGATACTTCGTTCATATAGCTTGGTTATAGGACTCGCTATAAACATTAAATAGATCTCTCTCTCTCTCTCTCTCTCTCTCTCTCTCTCTCTCTCCCCCTAGAAATCACGGATTCAGTTTCTCTATTTACAAAACATTTTAAGTATGGTTTTACATATGGAAAAACACCTTTGGTTATCAAAGTTTTCTAAAGACTCTTTACAAACTCTTTTATAAGTATGGTTTTACTTACAAAGAAATACATTTTGAACGTTTTAAAAGTAAAACTACTGCTCTAGCAAAAAACATGTAACTCTCACCAACGTTGTGTTAACCCTCAAAAGCACATGTATTCTCAATAAATCACTAAACAAGAATTTCAGATGACGGAATAGTCATGGATTTTCAGGCAACCTAGTTTTCTAGCTTTTGTTATATTTTCATGTCTGTTTAAGGCAATCCATACACTCTATTATTATCTGTAAAAACACTATATTGAAAATGCTAGATGAAATACAACTATTGTTTTGTTATTGTTGTACTTGTGCTATATATTCAATTGCATGTGACCTATAAACTAAATCAGTCGCACAACCCGATATTTTATGCCGCCTCGGTCGGGGTGTGACAAACCTAAAACGACACCTACTTCATATCTGACATAAAGACCCGATAGCCGAATTCTATATCATATCAGTGGCATGGGCGAACATAGGTAGAGGTGAGTAGGGGCACATGCCCCCAATGACGGGATATTTCTACATGTGATGAATTGAGATTGGATTAAAAAAAAAATATTGATTAATTAGGCCCCATTGTTTCTACTGGGTTATGCAAATTGAAGCCTTCTATCGTTTTAATATGGAAGCAGGCAGCGACAATTACCCAAATTCATCATTGCAAAACAATAAATAATAGAGAAAACAACAAATATTGTCCCTATATATGTTCATAATTGCAACTTTAGTCCATTTCTTGGAAATTACCCAAAATCATCCCTAACTTTGATTTCTATTTGGCTATTGTCCCAACTTAATCAAAAGGACTTTTATATATTTTTCTAGATTTTGTAATTAGTAATCAATAATTAATATGTCATGAACCATTTGACCCGACTCGAAAAGTTTGGTATTTGAATATATTTATGTGCCCCCAAGCTATATAAATCCTAGATTTGTCATTGTAAGTGGATCTTCTGATTATTTACACTAAGCATAAAGAACCCAATATTACCAAAAACCGATAAAGAACTTTGGTTTTTGTTAATATTTAGGTAACCATGTTTTTTTGGTATATATTTTAACAGTAAACTTGTTTGATTTGTTCATAATAAGTTAATAATATCCGATAATTATTAATCATATTACCATATTTTGAACATGACAAATATATATGAAAAAATATGGTTAGATAAATGTGATACAAAGACCAAAGTCTCTTACCCTCCTAGGTAATTAACTCCTTGTTTATTAGGTAACTAGGTGTGGGGTCCGTATATTATACAGGTTGATTTAATAAATCATTAAACTTAAAATATAAAAATGAAATATTTTTTAATGTATAACTTTAAAATAAGAAAAAAAAACGTATTTATTACAATTTAATATCATATATATAATATTTAATACTTTACATATATAAGTATATGATTTTAATTAAAAATTAAAACAAACCAAAAATTGACAAGTGGATAATAATTATTTCAAAATTACCACAAAATGATAAGTATCAAAACTCATGAGAGATTGACAAGTGGTAAAACACGTTTGAGTTGTTTTAAACGATTTGCATGGTTATTTAGCAATAAAGATCAAACACGTTTGTTAGAAACAAAGAATGGCCCTCCCTTGACACAATTTAGTCTTTTATACAATAACAATACAGTAATTGTTAGTTTGCAACCGATCGAACTACAAAAAAATACAATGATTATACATAAAACGCATCCATCCATCTTATATATATATACTGCTCAACCGTTAATTGTGGTTTAATCTCCTCTAACTTTGCCTGAATAACTAACTAATTATAAGATGCGTCATATCATATCATCATTAAATTGAGTTAATTTAGATCTCAATAATTGATATATGTATGTATGTACGTATGTATGTATGTATGTATGTATGTATGTTCATCTCTTGGTCTTGCAGGTTCGAGCCATGAGAGAACCTGACGGCGGACTGGTGATTTGCAGGTCGCAAAGCCCGTGCAACCAATAAGAGAAGTGAATCGCTCCCAAACTTGCGCGTACTTTGAAAGTCCCTCGCACACTGTACAAAACTTTGTTGTTCAATACCTGTTTTCGAAGTTCCATTGCATAATTTGGTGGCAGAGAAACCAAGCTGGATACGAAGTTAATTGCCACCACGCCTGTCTCCTTTGGCCTTTGACTGAATGGCCGGATTGATTGAGTCGCTATCACACTGCCTTCGAATAACAATTCCATAACAGACTGCTCGAACTTCACCTCCAGTTTCCTGTTGGGGTTTGAGAAGTTTGCCATAAAAGTGAAATCTCCATTGAAATTGCCAGGTGCGTCGAAGTAGATGACGCTGAGGTTTGCACGGTTGGTGTCGAGAACAGGCGTTCTTGGCTTGACGACGAGGAACACGATCAAAGTGGCGATTCCGAAGAAGATGACGAGGAGGCTGAAGATCAAACATATAATCGCGCTGCACCAGATAGCCGGATTCGTGTGGCGGTGTCTTCTTAGCAACAGCCTATCGTGTGCTTTTGATGTGATGTGTTCGTAAGGGAACTCCATGCCCATGGTTGGCGTTGCTACGAGTTTGGTTAGAGGTGATGATTTCACGGATGATTGCTGTCGTGACATGAAAATACGTGACATGGGCGACGGGGTGGTGGCTTTCGATTGTGGCGAAGGCGTACAGTACACGGATGGCGGTTCTGGTGGCGGTGATGGCGGAGGTCGGAGGTGGGACATCTCAAAATTTCAAATGCAAAACAACACCCAATATAAAATTGAAGTAATGAAGGAGAAACCAAATGAATCATTGCAGCATTAAAATAGGGGTGAGTTTAAGCCAAGGGCAAGCAAAAGGGAAAAGTAGGATCTTTTTTATTGATTGAGATTGAGAGTGGGGTGGTGGCTGGTGGGGCCACAGTGGTGTTTTTGAAATACAAGAAAAGAAAAGGGTGGTGGTCCCGGTGGAGGCGTGGTTAGGTTTTGATTTTCAATTTTGTCCTTTTATTAAGTTTTAGTAGGTTGTAGGGTGTTTTATCAAATTTGACACCAATCAATTCCCTTCTTATATATTTTTAGGCTTATTTTTGGTTCATTATTACCCTATCACTACCATATAATATAGACAATAAGCTAATTATTTTTGTCATTTTCGTTAAGACTGGTCGGAGTGGGCAACGCCCACTCACGTGTTTTAAGAAAAAAGAAGAAAACGGCGTTAAAGGTCGTGGTGGTGGTAACGAAAAATAACGTGGAAACTAATAACGTGCAATAACAGGGAGGTGGGGCGGTGTTTGCGCCGTTATAACATGCAATAACGCCCCCTTTGGCCTTGCCCACACCCAAGTGTCTAAGGGTCTTATTTTGTACATTCTACTCTATTACACGAACCTATATTATTAGGCCTTCCGGGTATGTATTTTCACACGTGATGACTGGTGTGGTGGACTTTTCCACACGAGAACACCGACCCCAAGGGGCATAGGTGTGGTGTGGCGTGGATCCTGCTATGAGCAAACACGAGAAATTTGATTGGTTAATGTCATTTGACCGTTTTCCTTGTGTATTGATTGGGGAGATATTTAGATGTACTTAAATGGTTTAAAGGAGGTAGATTTAAGCTTTGAGATTTTGTAATGGTTGATGACCCGTTTTTTTTAAAAAACGGGTGAAGAAGGAAACCTAAAGGGGTTTAAAAAGAACGATTGATATTTGCTTTTAACTAAAGTTACAACAATGGTACTTGAGAATGTATCTTTTAATTTCATTAAAACCTCCTACTTATGTTTGATTTAAGTTAAACCCTCAATTATATATAATTATATATATTTTTATTTTTATTTAATAATTATATTTTAGTTTATTCGAATATCAAAAAAAAAAAAATTGATGTGGAGGGGTAATCATTTCCAATGGTTAGTGAATTTGAAATGGAGCTGATGTGAACTCACTATTTAAGTGGATTAGGTATGATCATAGTTATTAACTTTAGATTTACTTTTTAGGTTAATAATGATAATTATTATGATATAATTATTATAGTATATTGATCTGCCTTTTTAAATAATAATTACAATACAAATATTTTTTGATCAATTTTTATTATCAGTTCATTATTATCTAATTAATAAATTATTATTATTTAATAATTATATTTTTATTACTAACTTAATTAAAATTAATAATTTTAAATTTATTTTTTATTAAGATAAACAAACAACAATAATATAGTTTTTAAAATATAATAACATAAATAATATTATAAAAAATAAAATTCTAAATAAATTTTCATCAACCCAATATCATTGATATTATAAAAAATATTATAAGAAAAATAAAATCCAAACAAGTATTCATCATTTTTTTAATTTTAAATATTGCATAACAAAAATAAACAACTAATAATCTATAGTTATAAAAGATTTTTATGTAATTTTGAGTCACTTATAAAATTTTAGACGTGACTTATACATAGTTTGTCGTTCGGTTGTGGACATGTCTTTGTGGCAGATATTAGATATCTGGTCGGAGCAACCACCAACGTGCTGCCTCGCCGAATAACTGCATATATTGTCTTAATGCAAACTATTTAATCTATTTAATAAAACATTTTCATACGATTGGTAAGGTGGTCCATAGTGGTTTTTTAATGGTTTTTTTTAATATTTCAGTTGTTCATTAATGATTTTTACACAAATGTCTGATTTAGAAGGAATGATGATTGTGACGGTGACACAAGTGGTTAATGGTGGTGTGTTGTAGTTTTTGGGGTTGATATGAGTGGTTGTAGAGTTTAAGCTTGACTTCTTTAAATATATGAATTAGTTTATAATGAATTATATTATCTTATGAATTTTATGTATTAAACGAAAATGGCCTCTTTCAAGTTGTATATTTGATATACATTTTGTGTTAAAATATAAATGAAGTTATGCAAGAAAATATTAAACTAAGTATTAGTAGATTAATATGTTTATTAAATTATGAATATGATATTTTAAAATGTGAATATGTCTTCTGCACAATATATGTTTTAAAGAAATCTACAATTTAGAAAAAGAAAAATTTAATTTGTCAATGCATAAATATTTTTTTATTATTAAATTTTGTACATTTGGCTAAAAAATTTAATGATTCATGTTAAAAACTATTTCCAAAAAATCAAAACTATAATTTTTGTTCTATTAAGCTGTGAATACAAATACCACTGACTTTGGTGTTAGTCCGGCGACAGTCCAACGCTGGTCTCACGATGGTCCGGCGGTGGTTCGACTTTTATTTAAACGACCAGTGACAACTAGGTGGAAACTAAGGAATGAAAAAAGTATTCTTAATATAATATTAATGTTTCATTTATTTAAAACGACCTTAATGAAAATTTTTTAAAAATGATTCTTAGAATATATATATATATATATATATATATATATATATATATATATATATATATATATATATATATAAGTCAAAAAGAATATCAAAGTGTAATTCTTTTAAACTCTATGTAAATTTTATGACAAAAAATTATGTCGTGTATAACAATTTATTTGGAGGTTATTCATTTATTAAATAAATCACAAACACTACCTAAAATGATGTTGGAGAAGAATAATTTCTACTCAAGTGAAGTTTTTAGTATTAAGACCGGCGGTATTTAAATTTTAATTTGTCTAAAATTTACAAAATTATATTTTATCTCAAGACATTTATTAGATTATAAGACATTATAGATTAAAGATATTATTATCAAAACTCTATATAAAATTATAAACTTGATTCATAGATAAGATACACATAATATTTAGTTTAGAAAAAAAAAACAATAAAAAAAAGGTAATCGTCTACGTCTTTTTTTGTCGAGATGTTGTAATGCTTTTTTAGGAGAGACTATTGGTTACATAATAAAACAGTATAGTGTACAAAAAAAAAAACATCCAGCGTATGGACTTGAAATAAAAGCCAAATGCCCAAACAATATAGTGTATAATAAATTTAAATTATTTTTGTTTACCCAAGAAAGTAAGATAAATAAAATATAGATTAATTAATATAAAAAGATGTCTATACATTAATAATTAACCCTTTTTATTTGTTTTTTATTTGTTTTTTTTATTTTTTTTATTTTTTTTATTTTTTTGAAAAGATGGTCTTGAAAACACAAAATCAAAATAAACTACCGTTAGAAATCGATAAACACAATAGGTTAGATTGGTGTGTGGGATATATTATTAGATTGGTGTGTGGGAGTCCCTCTTGTTCCTCAAACTACATTCTATGCGAAACTCAAACGCTACTACTTCTCTCTTCCAACCTTGTTAGTTATGTTGACGACATCATCATACCCTACCCCACCATTGAAACCACATGTCAAACTGCTCTTAATCATTCCTACTCTACTTGGCAAGGCGGCGATCAATGTGTCCTCATTTTCATCCAGTATTTTCTACCAGAAGAAGCTATGGTCAAAGCCTATGGTCTCATATATATATATATATATATATATATATATATATATATATATATATATATATATATATATATATATATATTTGTGGTTCAAATCAACCGTGCTACCACTTCTCAAAAGGGTAAGACACCCTACTGTTACTTTTTATAAAAGTATATCTATACTTGTCTACTTATAATTAAACTTTTATAAAACTAATACAATTTCAACCGATTAGAATATTTTAAAAATTAAATTAAGGTGTTTATATGATATATACGATGTCTTTTTAGCCAATCTTTTTTTCAAAGATAATCAGTTAATTTAATATTGAAATGTTTTAAGCTAAAAAAAAGAAATACAAAAAACGGTCTCAAATACCAAATAAAAGTTATCAGTTTTAAAGTGAAATGTTGTGCCAATTCAATATCATAACGTAATTTTATGGGAAAATGATTTACCAGTAATTTTATGGAAACTGATTTATCAGGGTAATCATTTTTATCGTTTTGTCACATTTAGATAACTTATTTATTTTTTGTAGCATCCTAATTTTCAAGACCAAAAATTTCATTTTTGATATAACAAATTAGAAAACTTTTATAAGAAAACATTATCTAGTCACATCATTTCATAAAACCATAATCACATGTTTTGAAAACCATACCATAAAATCGTAATAATGTCATAGTACAATCTCAAGAACATTATAATGCGGAAATCTTGCGTGTGCGTGATGCACTGCCACCGTGTCGGCTCCTTCCCCTTCGATGAAGATGTACTTGAAAACAGAACTTAAAATTGTAATCACGAAGCTTAGTGAGTTCCCCGATCATACATAACACATATTGCATAACATAACTAGGTATTAACTACCCATTCGGTCCTGTGGACCGATACTTTGCCTATCCTATCCCGGTGTTGGCTACCCCATCGGTCCTATCGACTGGTACCTTGCCTAACATATCAAGGTGCTGGCCTACCCCTTCGGTCCTTTCGACCAGTAATCTTGCTTAGGATATCCGGGTGCTGGCCTACCTCTTCGGTCCTTTCGACCGATATTAGGGACTATTTCACCCTTACTCTACCACATAGTATCCTAGTGTATAAACATACAAGTTATATGCTACCAAAATTATCTGGGTGCTGGTATACCCCTTCGACCCTATCGACCGGTAATGGGATCTATCCTACCCCTTCTATCACATACCACATAACATCATAGCATACTACCACATAATCATAACAGATAAGAATATGCCAGATAATTATCACAAAGACAATTATCCATACT